GACTCATTAACATGCTCAGTCTTTCAAAGTCTTAGGATTTGATCTTTAACTTTCACAGGGTTTCATCTTTACCAGGAGTTTCGTCTTTCGCCATTTGCTAAAAATAGGTTCGCCAAAAACAATACATTGAACGGTTCCCCTTGTTGGATGTTAGCTCCAATTAATTTACCTTTTCATTAGTATGATTTAAGAATTCAAACAAATAAAAATGAATTTATCATTGGGATCCCGTCTTTACTCAGTTAAAAATTTGATTTTTACCTTTTTTTATTGCAAATAACATCATTTGAACCATATTATTGAATGACCACTGTCATTTTACGTTCAGAAACGTTATCTCCAGGTTTCCTTTTTCAACGTTTATATTTGAATCACAATCTTTGCTTTTTGGTTACTTGAAATCTTATTACAATTTCCTTTAATAAACTTATTTGATTTCTATAAATAATTAATATTTCCAACATTATATAATCATTACAGTCTAGTTAACTATGCATAATATCAATTAATGTTACGTACATACGTACGTAAAAAGAATTATTGAATGTATTCTTCCATAAAAGAATTGTCATGTGATTATATTTCTTCTTCATATTTGGTGAATTGTGAAACAATTTTTTTTTCCGCTGTATGATCTAAAAAATTCATTCTATAAAAAGAATTGTCATGTGATCATATTTCTTCTTCATATTATATTTGGTGCCGTGTGAAACCATGTTTTTTTTCCGCTGTATGATCTAAGACAAAGCGATTTTGCATTTCATTTATTTTAGACAAAGTAAATTAGAATTTAAATAATCAAATATAGTTAAAGCATGAACCGTATAAAACACCAATACAAATATAAATATATGGTTTCAAAGATATTTAAGTGATGCATTTTCACCTCTGACGTTAAAAGACCCACTTAAATACTTGACCTCCTGTTATGAGATTACGAGTTTACATACTATTGTCAAATAATAAAAGTTTTGAATAGTTGGTAAATGTCATCCTTCTGTTAACTGGCAATTCTGACACGTGATCAAATTGACCAATGATATAATACTCTAGTGGTTTAAATTTCTTTTCCCTCCGCCAAAAATATTGACGGTAATCAACCAATCAACTTTGAATAGCCTTACACATTGAGTGACTTATTCAATAGGTGGATGCAGCGCAATTTATGATAAGTTTTTTCAGTTTAAATTTCATATTAATTGAATTCAGAGCTCAAGATGAAAATGAATTAAAATATAAAATTAAATTCTTTATTCACATTTAATGTTTATAGAGACGGGCGAAACAAAATATTATATGAAAAATAATATCAGATACTGTTTAAAGAATAAAAATAGGTTAGATTATAATTTTATTTCCGCAACATGCAAATACATAAATAGGTTAGATTATAAATTTATTTCCGCAACACGCAAGTACATAAGGCGAGACCAACTTGATTCTGTGTTTTACATTACCCTATAGTACAGTATTATACGTACTGTATGCGAAACATCTTGATATAGATTTTTTTTTTGCCCAAACCTTCTAGATCTCGTTTTTTTCTATTTCGGAGTTTTCCGCCAAATTTTGCTCGAACACGCTCATATTTTAGGTTCAATCATTGTCTACATCGGAAATTTCCATAAATTTATAATTGCAATCCAAATTCGATATCTATACCCCTACAAAATTAAAATTTAAAATTTTTATTTTTTCCAACTTTGAGCAATGATATTTCGACAACCACGAGGCCAAATTCGATGAACTTTTTTTATTTGAATTCTACGAGTCCATAGAACTCAAATAAAATAAGTTCAAAGAATATGGCTTAGTGATTGTGGGTATGGATATCAAGTTTGGGTTATGAATATCAACTCCCTACATTTAATTTTATTCGGCAAAATTATATGATCATAAATTAATTTCTGTACGTTATTTTCCATGTATGCATGTAATCGCGTTTACCAATCATGATCATAAATTGCCAGATAACACCATTATTAGGCAAATTTCGGATACGATAATTTGACTAATAATTGGCTCGTACCGCAAAGCGTCACGTGTTCATTTGCCAAAGTAACGTTATTCGCCCAATAATGTATACATACTATAAAGTTTTTTGAAAAAAGCAACGCCCATAAAATTTTATATGTATATATGCTCAAATTTTTTTATTAAGAGAGGGGGGAGGAGTACAGAGTCAAACTGGTCTCGCCTAATATATATAATCTTATACAATAATTTTAATACAGTACTTGAAAATACTGATAATAATTTAGAAAAAAATTTAATTTTTAGGGTCGTTCTGGAATACCGAACTCTCCTCAATTGTTTGAACTCTATTAGTGAGCTCTGATATCTTGCTGACGATGTATCCGTATCCATCAGAGTGAAGAATGTATGGTTCGTTCGAAGTATTTTCAGTGTAGTTCGAAGTATTTTCAGTGTAGTTCGAAGTATTTTCAGTGTTGTTTGAAGTATTTTCAGTGTTGTTACTGCTTCTTGCCTCGAGAAGTTGAACTCTTTGATTCATACAATTCATTTTATGAACAATATGTTCTAAAAGTCCTAAAACTTCTGAAAATTCATTGCGGCTAATTGATTCTTCTGAGTTAAAATTTTTTAATAATATTTTAACGTTAGAAATGTACGGAGTTTATTAACAATAGCTATAAAATATTACCATTAGCGTTTCGCTTTGTTGATCCTTTATCCTTAGGTTCTAGATATTTTTCTGGAGTAGTAACGATAAACTTTGACATGTTAAGGATTTTGAAAGATAATATTAGATATATATGAGTTTTGTCTTTATAATGTTTTGATCGCACTTGAGAGCGAGTAATGAAGGAGAGAGGGTATATATATGTAACATCAATCTTCTTAACCTCCTCCCCAAGTACCCAATTGGGCAATTTCCCAGCTACTTTTTTTGGAATTCCTTATAAAGTAAAACATTATTTATCATATGATCATAGTCCTTAGAGGTTTGAATACTAACAATGGTGTGTCACATATTTCTTAAGGGCGGTTCTAATCAGTATCTACATATTTATACACAAGATAATCCAGTACATGTAAATACTTATTCGTATGAGTGGTACAACACAAAAAAGGAACTTAAAAATATACAAAAAAAGAAAATTAAAAGTATACAAAAAAAGAAACTTAAAATAACCAAATATGTAAAATTGTATTTAGGATTAGGACATTATTGGTTAGTGGCTATAGAAATAAATTCATTATTGCTGGCAATTGCTTATAGTATTCCTCGAAAACAATATCTTACTATGTAGAATACCTCTTATCCACCAATGAAATTGGGTTCGTGAATATTACGCGGGTTCATTTTCAAAAATGAAGTTCTTGAATAAGAATCCTGGTACTGTAGGCAGTGGCTAACGGTGCATGTAAAATTTCATTCTTGTCATTTCAATTTTATGTCTTTAGGTAAGTTTAAACACCTGTTTACTTTAATTTGCGCTTTTTTACTTTTTTTTTCGCATTCCATACGTGTTTGGCTGATCCGAGATAAATACCATTTAAGGTAGGGGGTACGTAGATCATTTAATAAATGCACAGAAGACTAATTAGGAAATATATTCAGAGGATAAATTAGGAAGTACACACAATACTTATTTCTGCAAACAAGAATTTTATTTATATATAAAAAATTTCATTCCAATCAG